CTCCACTTGACCCAATCATAGTTTTAAAAAGAGTTAGGCGGGTCCTAGGCGGCCTGGGGGGTCCAAGTCGCCTAGCGCCTAGGCGAGCGCCCATGTAGGCGCCTAGAATTTGGGTGGCCCAGTTGAATCCAAAAAGGATTCTACAGTTATATATTATATAAAATATAATAATTAGGTATTTAAGGCACATCAGAATTCAAAGTATAGTACACATTAGCACACACTCCATAAGCATAACCATAAGTCAGTCCATATCCAATTAAAACTTAAAATTTACCAACCAAATTATCAAACCAAAGTTACCAAATACCAAACCAGTGGAACTACAAATCAACTATCCACAAGACCACAATACACAACCAAAAGGAAGAAAACAAAAATAAAAGTAATACTTGAAGACTCAAAAGAAGCTTCAATAGTTCAATCAATGTTCAAAGTTTAATCGTTATTCAATATTCATCATTCATCATCAAAAAAAGTAGGGTCAACTGCATTTGCATCATATACATCGCCATCGGAGTCGTCACCCTCCTCGACATATTGGTCGTTCTCCTCCGTCTCTTCTGAATCTGCCTCTTCTTCCTCCTCTTCCTCCACCTCGTCCTCTGTGCTGAAGACCTAGTGGCCCTAGGATGGTCAGTTGATGTCCATGACCATGTCCCATGTCAATCCTTCATACCCCTCGACCTCATCATCATTAACTAACCACTCCATAACATTGTCCATATTTTTTGATCTGATGGGGTCTCTTTTAGTAAACCTGTCCTTCAAGAATCGAATATATTTGATATAGACTAGGTCATTGAGCCTCTTTGATTCAAGCATGTTCCATCTCTTTGCATGAATCTAACAAAATCAAATGAAACTAATTAAAATCTATGATTCATGTATTATTAATACAATTATACAAATTACCTTTATGGCATTACCCCTTCAAAAGTACTCAAATTGCGCTCACAACCAGATGAGGAAGTGGTTAGGTTTAAGATCTGAATGGCCAACTTTTGTAAATTTGGAGAACTACACCCATTTTGGCTCCACCAATTGGCTGCAAAGATATAGAATATATTCATAAATAAATAATAGAATTATAAAAATGAAACTTGATTACTTGAACTTGATGAACTTAAGAATATTATTACTACCTGGATCAATTTTGTTCCTTTACCTCATCGCCACTTGACTCCCAAAGACTTTAATAAACACTTCTAATTTATCAGCTCATCAGCACATATAATATGATGAATATCAGGATCAAGGACTAGCACATCTACACACTTATTAAATCCAGTCATAATTGTGTCATTTGTGTGTATATCCTTGTCAACATAAAAAAAAAAAATCTGGGTTCAAATAATAAGCAGCTGCATGCAATGGCCGATGTAGCTACCTATCCCACTTCTCATCAATAACCTCCCAAACAAGCTTGTAGCGGTTCTTATCATCATCAAAATTTTGGGCTATCTCTTTTTTACATTTCTTCATAGCCTCATATATGTAGCTTATAGAAGCCTTGTCACTATCAACCATCAGAAGGACTTTGTCAAGAGGAAAAAATACCTTAAGAATGCCTTTCACCCCTCATCAAAAGCCTTAGAAAGGATAATATCTCTCACCTTCTTCACAACCTGATCCTTGGACCATTTGCATGCTCTTCAGTCATCCGAGGTAAATATCTGTCTCAACTATACTCTCCTCGAATGTATATTATCTAGGCACAAGTACCAAGTCGTAGATCTCGTGACCCCAAGCCTCACAATCTCTTTTTTCTTTGTAAATCTACGCATCACGCTAAGGGTGAGATGGTGGCTATAAATGAAATTTGTAACTGACTTTGCCTTCTTCACTGCACCTGATATCTCAATTAAACTGCCAAGAGCCTCAAGCATGAGGTATATACAATGTGTTGCACATAGTGTCCAAAAGACTCTAGGATAAGCAATACGCAACA